AAAACGGGCCAATCCCCCTCCCCGGTGCCAGTAGCCAGGGGCCCTTCTGCTCCCTTTGTCCCCAGGCCCAGGGAGAGGAAAAGGCAGGAAGGAAGAGGGCAGACCCACCTCGGCCACCTCAGGGGTCTTGTGGATCAGGTGCCAGATGTAGCCGTTTAACTCCTCCTGCCGCCGCTCAGCCACAGCCTCTCCCCAAGCGCGGCCGATCACAAAGCGGCTGGGGAAGCTGGCGGCGACGCGGGGAGAAGTCAGGAGGCTTTTGTTCAAACGGTGTTTGCATTTCCACACCCCCACCCCCTTCCCCAGCTCCCCAGGGCTGTGCCCAGAACACACCAGCTCAGCACCTCCCCCCAACACGGCCCGCAGAGCCCTGAGGCGCCCCAGGAAGTGCCTGGGCAGGGTGGGGGGCTTCAGAACACCCAGGTTTCCCATCACACCGTCTCCAACCAACGTAAAAATGCACGTGCGAGACAGTGTCACTCTGCAAAGAGTGAGAGACCTAGGAACACGGCGAGAGTCAGCCCACCCCCTCCCTGCCTTTGGAGCCGTTCGCTCTCCAGCTGGTGGGTGGGGACACATGGAATTTCAAGGCTCCGGTCAAACCTGTCTCCAAACAGGCGGAGCCCTGCTGGCTTCGTGCCACCCCCCCACCCCCCCAGAGGGTGGTGGCTCCAGCCCACCCAACTATTAGACAAGGAGAAAGATGGGGCCGTCTGCCTCTGTGGCCATCGCGGCCTGAGAAGCCTGGGGACAGCTCCCCTCTGCCCTGGCGCTGGGTTGCTGGGAACTGGAATGGCCGGGGGACAGTGAGTTTATTGTCCAGCAGCCCTCGGGGCGCATCGGGGGGGACCTTGGCCGGCAGGGGGAGTGCTCACCAAGCTCATGGCAGAAAGAACAAGACTCACTGTCCTGAGTTCATTCGGAGGCAAAGAGCCCCTACAGGGCAGGGCGGGACAGGCCGTGGGTTTCTCCAGGCTGTGAAAGCCTCCTCTTGCTCCTGAGGAGCAGCTGGTGGAGTCTGAACTGCTGACCCTGTGATGCGCAGCCCAGCACAGAACTCATTCCCAGGCCAAATAAATCAGCCAGGGCTGATGAAAGAGTGACTCCCGAGTAGCCAGTGTGTCACTTTTGGCCCTCGTACAAAGGCAAGAAGGGAAGTCTGATGGCGAACAGGTCATCAGTTTCCTTTGCCAGAATAAAAAACAAGAGTGACTTCTGTACGCGGAGACAGTCCTCCGCGCCCCCAGCCCCTCTCCCTTCCCAGCAGGCTCTGTGCAGAGACCAGGGGAGCTACCTGGGCAGGAGGGACGACGGGAAGAGCAGGCGCAGCTTGTTGTGCAATTCCTGGAACTCCTCGAAGGTGCGCTGGATGTAAGTGGCCTCCTGACTCTTCTCCCGCATCACCTTCACCACATAGACCTGCGGAAGCCGCGGTTTAGAGCCCCACCACCCCAGCCGCCGCGCCCCGAGGAGCAGTTGTGTAGGGAGGGTTCGTTTGGGCGGGCGGCTATGGACAGGCGTGTCTGCCGTGGGGTGGGGTGTCTGAGGGAGCCATCTTCCCGCCCATGTTTCCACAGGCCCTTTGGCGCAGACGCCTGGGTTTCAGCCGCGGGGTCTAGCAGGCCCCTTGAGCATGCAACAGAGAAGTTTGGGAGCGTGCCCAGGTAGGATGCCAGGACAACGCAGGAGGCCACTGCACGCAGGTGAAGAGAGTCTGTCCGGCTGGGGCCAGTGGGATTGGAGAAGCCACTTACGTAGCCCTTGTTGGGGTGGAAGACCTTCTCGTGGCGGCAGAGAAATACGTCATGGATGCGGCTGGAGCTCTTGAGGGTGTGTGTCCGCGGGGCAAAGGAGAGAGTCAGCCGGTCGTCGGAGCCCGTGAACTTCATCTGAGCCAAGTTATGGATGAAGAAGTTGAGCTTTGTGGCTACACTGCCCAGACTGGACTCGATCAATCTGTTGGTGCAAGAGGGGGGGAAGAGAAGACCGTCACCATCAGCCGAGTCCCCTCCACGGATCGGGTCACTGTCATTGTGAAATACGCTCAGAGAGGGCGTGATGGGCGCATCCATTTCTGCCTGTCACTCCTGCTGCCTATCTTGGAGGTTTAAAAGTTCCCAAAAGAGCAAGTAAAATGGGACAATGCCCTGCATTGGCCAAAGACAGTCTGACCAAGGTAAGAAGGCATTAGGGAACCCATTGCGAGGACCCGTGGGAGTGTCCAAGTCCGGTTCTGAAACCCAAATCCACGGCCAGTCAGTACAATGGAATCTCACCAAGGAGAGCTTCTCCTGGGGCAGGAGTAACCCAAGGGCTCGTGCCAACAGCAGGTCAGCACACAGAACAAAGCCAACAAGAAACCCAACCCCAAAGGAGTGTCGACGCCCACGGAATCCTCGCCCCAATCTAAGCACAATTCGTTCTTATGACCTGGCCCTGCTTGATGCCCACCTTCCTGAGGAGGTCACTGAACCTAGATTCATCACAGGGGAGGTTGGGGAGAAATGAGTAGCTAATATCAATGAGAACAAGAAAGAAGAAAATGTTCTAAAATCAATTTTGATGATGACTGTACAACTCTTTTTAATATAACTGAACTATTGAATGGTATGATATGTGAATTATATGGCAATAAAATGGTGTGTGTGTGTGTGTGTGTATGGTTTGAAAGTTCCAAAAAGAGCAAGTAAAATGGGATATGTTCTACATCGGTAAACTTATAGACATTAGCACACACACACACACACCCATCTCTGCCTTCATACGAAAAGTGATAGTCCCTGAAAACTTTATCAAAAAGGAAAAACTGAAAGATGGGCTTCCATATTTGGACGAGGGTGGTAGGCCTAACCCCAGAGAGCGACAAAGGGTTTCAAACTCCACTTACACTCTGTCCCTCAAACAGCGTTTTCAGCCGGGATCTCGGATGACTACCAGTAAGAGTAAGAGTGTCACGCTTCCATGTACAGAAGTGAGCACCAAAGTGTGCACGGGCAAGCGAGGCAGAGAGAGGGGAAGAGATTTTCTGAGGCCGGAGCAAAAGTGAGACAACAGACACCTGGGTCATCCTCGGCTTCCAGCCCAGCCTTCCCACCCCACAGGCCTGTCAGGACCAGTCTGGCAGCTTGGACGTCACATTACACCCGGTGGGCGGGGTTCTGATTTGCACATCACCTCGTGAAGTAGGTCGTGGCATTGGCCTCCGTGTCCTGAGGCCTCAGGGCATCGTACACATACTTGAGGTCCTCCAGGTCCGACAGCTCAGGGATCCCACAGGACAACATCTAAGAGGAGAGGCAAGAAGACAAAAACCGCATCTCTCACAACAAGAAATTAAAAAGAAGACGTACTAAAAGATCATTTTATTGGGGGTTCTTACAGCTCTTATAACAATCCATACATCAATTGTATCAAGCACATTTATACCTATGTTGTCATCATTATTTTCTGAACACTTACTTTCTACTTGAGCCCTTGGGATCAGCTCCTCTTTTTCTCTCCGCCTCCCCCCAACCTTCGTGACCCCTTGATAAATTATTATTATTTTCATATCTTAAACACCAGCCACGGTCTCCCTTCCCCCGTGGTTTCTGTTGTTCATCCCCCCGGGGTGGTGGGGGGTGGCGGTTAGGTGTTGATCTTTGAGATCGGTTTCCCTTCCTCCCCTCCGTTCCCCACCTTCCTCCCAGCCTCCCGGAGCAAGGAAGTTTTGCTTCTTCTCCACCATAAGGCAAGACTGGGGCCCATGTGGAGCTGCTGACCACAGACCAGCAGATGGAGAGCACCAGCCACTGCAAGGGAGGCGGCCGGGCTGTCTCTTCTGCAGTCACAGCCCAGATGCCGCCTGCATTGGCTCCAGGTGCACATCTCTCTTCCTTGTGCCATGACCAAACACTTCTCCCCTGGCTCTTGAATCTCGATGGCGTCTTTTCTTTCTTGCTCACTGTCTCTATTTTTGTCTTTATATTATTACTTTCTCCTCACCCCCTTATTTCGCTTTTGTCTTTTACTGCGTCTGTGGGGTTTCCCGGTGTGTGAAGCACAGGAGGGTGGATGCATGGAGATAATAACTGATACAGGGGTTGATAGAGGAGGCGGGGGTGGGGGAGGGTGGTAGGAGGGAAAGGGGATTTCAGGAATAAAAAGGAAGGGGGGAGTGGGGAGGGAACACCAGAACTGGCTGTGATTGCACAACTCATTTTAAAGGCGATTTAACCCTGGTGTGGGTGGAGGGGGTGGTGGTGGAGGGCAATGTTCTGAAATCGATATGGTAATGAATACACAGCTCTCCTTGATGGGATTGGGCGACTGAATTGTAGGACATGTAAATTGTGTAGGGATAAAATTGTTATTAAAAAGAAGGATATTAAAAAAAAAAAGAAGGATATTGTACAATGGGAAAAAACAACAACACCACAACTACACAAAAAATGAAAAGCAAAAAAAAAAAGAGTCCGTCTCGGAAGCCCACAGGCTGCTCTGCCCTGCCCTGCAGGTCTCTGAGTCACCATTGACGCAGGGCCAGTGGGTGGCGGAGATGCTACTGCACCTTGTACAGCAGCGTTTCCCACCGTGGTAATACTGCCCCTCAGGGTGCTCAAACCATCCAGGGGTGCTACAAGAGCAGATACCTACACTGTACCCTGGGTTGTGGGCTACAGTCCAAAGTTAGCGATTACCAGAGGGAATTTTTTTTTTCCTGACTAGGGTGTGGTAGGCCGAATATGTCTGGAGTCTCTGGTCGACAGAGGCTGTCGGTCGTGGCTACAGGACCACTCGAGGGAGGGGACTGGAGCCGAGTCTGACCCTTGCATGGACACCACGTCCCCAGGTGCCCAATGTCTTGCCTTTTCTA